TAAAACTGTGGAGAAAATGGATTTTATGCTGAATTTTATAAGTGGTATGCAATTTGTTTCATTTTAAAAAATATTTTTTGGTGCTGAAATAGTTTTGAAGAGACAACAGATTTTTTTCTATAGCTCATTTGTTACAAATTTTCTTTACTGTTTTTCCATTTGATAGACTTTATATCTGGTTGTAAGCTACCTGACGATGTTTGTCAACAGGTGTCTCGCGCACGGAAATTGGTATTAACAGATTGTTTTGCTACACTATGGCTGCGTCTGCTAATTGACTATCGGTACTTGGGTTCTATCCAACCATTGCACAGTATATCGATTTTGACATTAAAAGAAAAATAAGATAAGAAATGACCAGTTCATATCTTTTGTAATTGTATTCCAAAGTATGTGTCTCGCAACACCTTAAACCAAATTAACACTCCAGACGGACGAAACTGTAATGTTCATGCCTCTAGTTTTGATGCTGCCCAAACTTTTGGTGTATCAAATGTTTGTTTGATGGTGTTTATATATTTTTTAAATTTCATTTGGTTGATATTGGTGATTTAGAATAAAGTTATAATTTCTCCAGGATGGTTTCATTATTTGTACGTACAGAAAGCGTTTCGCTTTTTCCCGCTTTTGGCATGTTTCGCGGGAATTTTTCCCATGATTCTTTATTGTATTCACTACAATTTCTAAGGCTAACCACTTTATATATATATGTTGTATTTGATTTGATCTGTATTTGTAAACAGACCATTATATTGCTTGGCATCCATTGTATTTAGTCAAGATCATATGAGGGTGTGGATGGGGATTTACAGAATAGAGAATAATGGGCAAAAAATATAAAGAATAGAGAAAAATGGACCAAAAAAATAAAGAACAGAGAATAATGATGTGCTGGAATATAAAGAATAGAGAACAATGGGAAAAAAGTATAAAGAATAGAGAAAATTGCCTTAAAATTAAAGAATATATGGGACCCCATCCAGACCCTCTCATATTTTAATTGTTGGAAGAATCCGGAGTAGCCGGAGAGAAAAACCGACCTTCGGGAGAAAACTGGCCATGATCAATTAAGATCGAAGTCCAATTAAATCCGTCACGCACGAGCGGAGTTCGAACTAACAACCTCAAAGTTGACAGCCTAGTGATTACTGTATGTGAACTAGTTAGAGAACTTTGACATCCCAGTAGTACGTGTGGTGTGTGTATGATAATTGACATTTACAAAACGTATCAGTTAATTAACATTGTAGTATAATTTTTTTAACATAGTTGAACTGAATGTCAATCATAGTATTTCCATCGAATCCTCGTTTTCGACAGCTCCACTATATGTTTGATGAATCTCCAATTTAATACAATTTGACTATTTTAACTGCAGCTTTCCTCCCCAAAAATCATAGAAATATGACAAATAAAAGTTTTATATTAAAAATATGTTTCTTTTTCAATATGGATAGTCACAACAAACTATGTATAAATAATTACAATTTAAAAGCATTTGTTTTATCTTTCTTTGGTTTACATCTTAAATTATTTTCCTCGCGGATCATCAGTTTTATTACTATCGTATGAACGACTTTTGACTTAGATGTAATTTCACAAATAGTTTAAGCAAATGTTGAGGTCGTAATGTCTTCATATTTATTTTTATTTAACATTATTATGATCAAATGAATGAGAACTCATAGAACATGGAACAAACTCTCATCAAGTCCCCCCCCCCCCCCCCAAAAAAAAAAAAAAAAAATATCAAGAAAACCAAAACATATTCAATTTGCAAAAAGCCCTTAACTGTCTTAAATTCTTTTCAATTGAAATTGCATTCAGTATCTGTGTTATATATGGAACAACAATTATTTCAGAAACAGACGGAGTTTGGATTGGTCTCCGATCAGGGAAATGGTTGACAGGAGATATCTTTATGGATGTCTATAATATATCTGTAATATTGAATAATGTTGACACCGGATACAGACAGGACAGTGATGTAACATGTGGTTTACTTAAATCGACAGAACTTGTAGACAGAAGTTGTAACATTCGGAACAAAAAATACTTCGTTTGCGAGATTGTACTCCAAATGTGAAAAACATATTTTAGACATTATATACAGTCTGCCAAAAGTTAAGCACCACCTATTTTTATTGCATCGAAATTTATTTCATTTAAAAAAATCAGTTAATCCTCGAAAAAGAGAAAATATTCATGTAGCAAGTTTGCTAACATATACCATAAACAAACCGTAGACTTAAGCTTGTTCACGTATGCAGGTTCTATGCATTTGAAATTTGCGTTCATAGAAATAGTGAAAATTACACAAATCAGAAACGGAATTTAAGTTTCACTGTGATTTAATTTTTTTACAACAATTAATCACCCAATATCATTAAAAGTCTCTACAAATAATCTTTGGTATGTTCGGCAAATTTAATGAAAACATATTGAGTCAATAGGATGTGTAACACCCTCTCTTCCGGTACAGTTCCATAACACGGAGTCTCATACTCTATACAAGCCTTCTGAACTTTAGTTGAGCAAATTTATTCCATTCAGCAACAATTGCGCTTCTTAAATCGCTAAGATTTTGCAAAGGTGGATCTCTGCGATTGAGATTTCTGCCAATAGCATCCCAGACATGTTCGATAGGGTTCATGTCTGGAGACATGGAAGGCCAAAAGATAGTGTCAATTGCTTCTTGCTCTTTATTCTCTTTGTACTCGGTTACAATATTTGCCCTGTGTGGTCTAGCATTGTCGTACATGCACAAGGGTCTTGAAGCAAGTGGAGGATTATCAAAATGAGGGACTACAATGTTTCTAAGCACCAAATCCCTGTATGTCTGTCCGTTAATGTTACTCTGCAGAATATGCATACCAACCTTACAACAGTATGAGAAGAAACCCCATACTGTAACACCACCAGCAACGTATGCAGTCGTTGGGCAAATGTTGTTTTGGTCATTAGCAGTTTTATTTCCACGACAAACTCGTATTCTGCCGTCTATTGGTCGTAACAGAAACTAACTCTCATTTGACCAATGAACATTTTGCCAGTTTCTTATGTTCCAGCGTCGATGGTCATAAGCCCTTTGAAACCTGATTATACGGTGCCTGGCTGTTAGGGCAGGTCTCTTGACAACACGACGTGCTCTTATGTAGCCTCTATGAAGTAGACGGACCAATGTTCGAACACTAACATGACCACCTTGACGCCAGTGGTGTCTAAGTTGTGGGGCAGGAGTAAATGGGTTGGCTTTAGCACAAGTAATAAGGAGTCTGTCATCACGATCGGTAGTTAAACGGGGTCTTCCGGACCTTGGTCTATCATTTACAGTTCCTGTGTCAACATGACGTTGTAAAAATCTGACAATGATGGTGTGTTTAACATTGGAAATGGTTACCTATGCAACTAGTCCTCCTACCGGCATTTGACATGTCAATTGCTTGTCAAGGTTCAGTCACATATAACTTACCCCTTGCCATATTTCACAGTGACTTAGTGAAGGTCAAATTTCACCTGTACGCGGGACAGTAGGAACATGATTTAAAGGCATAGAAACAGTGTATTCGAAAAAGTGCAGATGACCTTTAATAAAAAATTGCTTGGCGTGTTTATCGGAGTTTATTTGTTTTGGTCGTAATGAATTTTCTTAGTGTATGTTATAGGCAATTCATAACACCAAACATAAATATTGTTTTCGCAATAGTTAAAAAAATATTGCCAGTTATATTTAGGTGGTGCTTAACTTTTGGCGGACTGTATATATAATTATACTCGTGGACACACAGAAACGTTGCAGGAAAAAATACCCTAAAAACAAATTCTATATTTCATCTGTTATATTTTAGGCAAGAAAATACCGAACTCCATGGAAATTAAAAACAGAAGTTCCTTATCAAATGGCAAAATCAAAAGCTCAAACACATCAAACGAATGGAAATCAACTGTCATATTCCTGACTTGATACAGCATTTCCTTATGTAGAAAATGGTGAATTAAACCTGGTTTTATAGCTAGCTAAACTTCTTACTTGTATGACAGTCACATAAAATTCCATTATATTGACAACAATGTGTGAATAAAACAAACAGACATAATAGGAAAAATATAAAAAATTGGGGTACAGCAGTCAACTATTATTATGTTGTGTTATTATCTTAATCACTTTAAAAACAAACAACTATGTCAACAAAGATAAAAATCTGGCGTGGGTCCAGTATTTGGGGGGGGGGGGGGGGGTATGGTTCGTGCTCCTGATAATCTGAGAATTGAAATTTAAAAATTGGCTTTAACTTTACCTGTAATTTTTTTCATCTTTTTTAGGGGGGGGGGGGGGGGGGGGGTTAGAATCTGCGCCTGGTAATAAGACAATCTATAATAAAGAAAGATATATACAATTTGATGTGATTTATGCACCAATTAGACAACAACCACACGACAAAACTAACCAATAGACATAAATACAGCAACATACACATGATACAGGTGTCCATACATAGTCAAGCGTATGATCTTTACGGTATGATAAGTATGTTTATTAAAACTTCGATTTCAATTCAGGAGGTGGCAATCTTTAAAAATCGAAAATAATTATGAGACTACTGCAAATTCAGAAATTATAGCGTGCATTTGTTATTTCTATTTTTGAAGAATGCACATAAATGAGAGATTAGTTATTGCGATTTCATGAAAATATGCATACAGATATATATGTATCAGATATCAGAATGTGAGTTCTTATTATTGCAATACTCACTTAGTCGCATTATTCGTAATAATGAAAAAAACCTCGGTATTTAATGCCATTCTAAAACATCTGTTATTAGAATATTACATACAAATTTTAAAATGACAATTTGATTTTTCCAAAATTATTGTACAGATAAGAAGAAAACATCACATTAATAAAAGCGCATTTTATCGTTTTGGAACAAATCAACTGATATTTACAATTTATACCGTTTATAGCCTCAGTCGATTCCAATGTTTATAAAATAAAGTCTGACATTTTGAATTGAGGAAGTACTTTCTCTTCAAAATGTACATGTATTAATGTAGTTGAATTTAGATCTCATTAAAAGTTTATTTGTGATGGATACATAATCAACATTCTTCATTAAGAAATATCATACAAAAGTTAAAAATAACATGGCACCGAAACCAAAGATCAGACACGTAGATTTAGCAGCACTTGGATTGACCATTATGGCTACAATAGTACAAATAGTGGGATTTGGTATTCCTAATTGGTGGACATTCGAATACTTTGACGGAAGGACATTGGTCATTGGAATAGTAAAATCAGACGGGTGCGACCAGTTAAAAAGGTGTGACAAAACTTTTATTGACGTTGATAATGGTACAGGTATGATGTTTTTATATTGATTACTTTTATTTCAATTCATTTCGAGTTTGTTTGGGTTCGAGATTTTCTCGCTGCGTTGAAGACCAATTGATTGTTTTGGACTGTTTACTGCTTTGGTCGGGTTGTTGTCTCTTTGACACATTCCACGTTTCCATTATTTTTCTCTATTCGAAGGTTTGATCCAACACTATTGTCGTTAATTGATTAACGATGTCTGTATCTCAACTCACTAGCGACATGTTTTCGTGGTCTTAGACGTTTAGATATAAAAATAAGAAGATGTGGTATGATTGCCATTGAGACAAGTCTCCACAAGAGACCAATGGCACAAAAATTAACAACTATAGGTCACCTTCAACAATGAGCAAAACCTAATTTTGTGATCTGTAAATAACCCGATTGTATCCTATTCCGTTTTGATTGAGTATTGATTCGCATAGCGGGTGATGCCTACATAACAGGAGAAGCTTTCTATGAAAATGAACTTCGTTTCGCTCCTTTTAGAGTTCTAGCGATACCCTCATGTGTTGTTTTTTTTTACCTTTATTTGTATGATATGAATTGGATTTAAAAGATGAAACTGCTTCGCTCTAGGCTATAACATAAAGAAGCACGCATATTGCCAATTTGTTTACTTTTTTTTAAATCACTGATAGAACGGCAAGTTCAACAATACGGAATGGCCTCCCCCCCACCTCCCCCCACCTCCCCCCCCCCTTAAAAAAAAAGAAGAAAGAAAAAAAAAAAGCAAATCAACAAACAAATGTAGAAAAGAGCAAGCCCTAAAGGAAGAATTATATAAATAAAAAGGATGATGCCGATGATCAATAGTACGACTATTTGTTTCCCTTTTGTTATCCTAAATGGCTTTAGAATATGACAATACAGTTCATAATATTTAAAAATAATCTACAGAAACAGTTGTAGTATATGCATTTTTCAAGACTAAAATTTAAGCAGTAATGTTTTGGAATAAACTTTTACGAGGTAATACGAAGGTAAATGATATGGTTAATGTCTTCTTATGCATTTTAAATAAAAAGGTAACAGGCATGGCAAGACCATGATTTTTCTTTTAAATTAAACTGCTAATTATTTAAATACTTGCTCACTCATAAGGGCCTGGGTGGTCAAGTGGTCTAAGTAGTTAATCTACAGCTATCACACACCGGTCAGCACCGAGGTTGTAAGTTCGAACCCTGCTCGTGGCAGGTGGGTTCTAATCCTGTCTTAATTGACTAGGGTTGTCAATTTTCCCACAATAAAATCTGGTCGCCACGATATAACCACGAGTGCTGAAAGTGGCATCAAACACCAACAATGTTGATCTGTATTTCCCCGCATAATTATTTTTCTTTAAACTAGTGGTCGAATAGTTTTTATTTAAGAACAGATAATCAATTATAAATTTAGTGTGTAAAATATATCAATTGAACCATATTGCACGAGGAAATAAATATAAACTGGCGTGCATGATTAAAGTATATCCTGTGGTTTTGACCTTGATCTTTAATACTTTTGATTTTTTACCTTTATGTTTGAAAAATGATAGACTGAAAGGAACGAAGACTTGTACAGTATTTTCACCCGGTTAATACATTGTAAAACTTACAGAATACACAAAGTTTAAATATCTTTTTTTAAGTAATTCAAAATTAAAATTGATCCATTACCGGTCTTAGCTTTTGTACTCTTTATGCGTATACTAGTACATACTTTATGCGTATACTAGTACATACTTTACGCGTATACTGTACATACTTTATGCGTATACTAGTACATACTTTATGCGTATACTAGTACATACTTTTTTATTCGTTTGTACATCTGTTTCGTTGTGTTTGACTCGTAATATTGGTGTATTGTTGTAAAGACTTTTTCATTTTTCTTTGAGGTGAGTGTTTCGGTATATTTTTTGTATTATTAAAAAAACAAAAAACACTAAACATCATGTATAGACTCAGGTGCTCCGAAAGGTTAAGCAAAACTAAATATAATTAGTTACATAGTGTGCTAGTGCATGACCTAATACGGTATATATGGGGTTAGTAAATTCCATATAGGGTGAGAGCGAAGCTCGAATCCCCATATGGAATTTACTGACCCCATATATACCGTATTACGTCACTAGCACACTATGTAACGAATTTATCTTACCGACTATCTTAACGTGTGAAATTTAAACTAGTGACCTATCAAAATGAGCAAGTCTTCAATACCGTTAGCATTAAGAAACTACTTCCATTGATCCTACAAAAACAGATGCCAACAATAACAACTTGTTAGGTTTAAATGTGTTTTATGAATTTATTTCAATCTTCATCATCACTTTCTTCGTCTGTTGAAACCTTTAAGATTTTTTCTTAGTACCGTTTTGTTTTTAGAAAGGGACGTAGCACCACTACTAACCGCGTGTATGAAATAAGCACCGCCTCCCTACTAACCTAATATGGAATATACACGGTCTCCACGCGGACGCTTTTAACCAATCATATTCCTAGAAATGTATAGGAGGTAAGATAATATATCATACGCGGCCATATTGGCTTATTAACGGTTTTACACTGTTAAATCCGTTAATTTTTCATGAACGATAAAATGACGAAATTACGACTACGACAGAACTGGTCCATTGTCATTTGTAACATTATATTTCGTATGGATGATATAGGATAAGGAGATATGATATGATTGCCAATGAAACAACTATCCAACATAATCTAAATGAAGTGGATTTAAGCAACTATAATAGCTCACCGTATGGACTTAAATAGGCTAAACCATACAATAAAGTCAGCTATAAAAGATGACATTACATAACATGAAAAAATCTAATCGAGAGAAGAAACACAACGATCTGATCAATGACAATACAACAAACTAAAGATAAATATGACAGATAGCAACCAACAAAAACCACTGAATTATAAGCTTCTCACTTGGGGAAGGCACATATAGAACGTGGCGCGTTTAAATATGTTTACATTTTGTAGAACAGTGGTTTAACAGCACAACATAAGAACAAACTGTTGAAGGCTGCACTTTGACCTGTAATTGTTTACTTTTTACACATTGTGACTTGGATGGAGAGTTGTCTCATTGGCGCTCATACCACATCTACTTATTTCTATGTAAAAGTCAGTTTGAAATGGCTTGGCATGACACAAACTGATTATAAGCAATGCAAAATATAATTTAAAAAAACGTAACGGTGAAATGCGGTGAATCGTTAACCAAACAATGTATTAATTTTTTCAGTTATTGAATGCTAACATGATTTAACTGGTCATTCCCGAATTCCCGCGAATTGAACTGCTCAATCCCGAATTCCAGAATAAAGGCTCTTCCCCTCCCCTCAACAATATGCTACGTCTATGGATAAGGACAGCACATGGTTCCAATATGTATGTTAATTTTAGCCTTGGATGCCGCCATGTACCCATTACTTTATAGTTTTCTAATTCAACAAATAGATTTTCAATTAGAAATCTGTATACTGCGACAATACGGCTAAATTTTGACACTTTTTATACACAACGCTTGGTATATTTGCTACGTGAAGTGTGGAATTGTTTGTTCACCATTTCTCCAGACCAACAATTCACACTGATGCCACGAATTGGTAGAGATGGTCTGCTTTATTTCCCAGAACACTGTGTTCCCCTATGATAAAACAGCCACAAACCTCCACCCTTTAGCAACACCATTTACGAAACCTCAGTAAAACGGAAACGTTTGAACCGAAAGTGCATGAAAATCTGTTAATTAAAAATTTCTTCGCATTCGTCATAGTCACATTATAAAGTAGTGGTTTTATATGCATGACAAAAGTTATCGTTTTTTTTTTTTAATTTGACAAAAAGTACAACAATAACAGTGCATAATATGAATTTGTTTCCTTCCTTTTTCTTTCAGAATGGTTATTTATGACAAGGATCTTTGAATTGTTTGGAGTGATACTTTGTCTATTGTCTACAATTGTCCACATAGCATTTCTTCCCACCAGAAATTTCAACGTTCGGTCTGTAGCCATCTATGCACTTGCTGCTGCAAGTAAGTTTTCATCAATAATTAAAGTATTTTAAAAGTCTATCATATAACTAAATATTGAAGTAAATTTTAAAAACGTATATGCTGACATCAACATTTATATAAAGGTTTAACATTATCATAACAAAGTCGAAATTAGTCTGCAATAAGTTATTAACATGCATGTTCGTGTTCATATTTTATCACAGAAGTTTCACCACCACTGAACGAGCGTACAACACACACACACACACACATTGGATGAACTATAAACGTACATTAAAACTTTTTAACATAAATATTATGACAGTTTTACAACATTACATGTATATTCTTATTATTTTTATCATTCAACAATTATTTGATAAAACATTGTCCTAATTTAAACCAATATTAAAAGAGAGATGAAAGATACAAAAGTTACATTCAAGCCCATATGTCGAAAATAAACTGACAACGCCATGGCAGTGAATAAAAAGAAAAGGAGCAAAAGACAAACAACAGTATACAAAACATAGTAACTATTATAGAAAACTAAAGACCGAGCAACACGAACACTACCTCAAACCGGGGGTGATCTCAGGCGTTCCGGAAGGGTGAGCAGATCCTGTTCCACATGTACAACCCATCGTGTTGCTCATGTAAATACAAACCCAGTGATAAGTCTAATTCGGTAGGTCACATTCGGGGAAAATGTAATAGTAATGTTTGTTTCAATATACCAGGTATTTTCATATTAGCTGGTTCTATCATTTTTGCTGTGATGCATACCAAACTTGTAACTACTGTAAATGAAAATAAAGGCGAACAAACAACAGGTCCTGGATATGGACTTTGCATCTTTTCGGGACTTTTGGCTATGGCAGCGGCTATTGTCACAGGAGCTGTCACCGTACGAAAAGGCGAAGACTATTATATCATTAATGCTGTTTAGAGTTGAATTGTCAAACAAACAAAATATCAACATTTGAAAAATTTTGTTTTGTTGTAGTTCTAAAAATAATTGATATGATTAAGTTTGTAATAAAATTATAGATTTATAATGGTGCCTTTTCATTTTGTTTAATATACTAAATTGTTAAATACATCAATACGATGATACTTGTTTATGGGACATGGTTGTTTTTAACACGTCTTTTTATTTCAGTACTGATTTATTACTATATTGTATACCATCTTTCTTTCTTGCTCACCCCCCTTACCGATAAATCGAGTTTTGTGTTATATTTTGAATCTACTTTTCTAGAAAAAACTTCACAAAAGGAAGTAATATAAAACATTTCTTGTTAATAAAACTGACATACTAAAGGATAATAGCAGATAACTAATTGATGTGCTTATACTGATGAATCCCATGTTTATCAAATATGCTGAATATGATTGTATTTATAAAAAATAAATCCGCATGATTAAGTCAATAATAACAGTCACTAGTGTTCGTTTTGGACGTAACCATATTGGTACAAATAAAAAAAAGTAGAAATCAAAGAGATGATTCTAACAAAGCCGTATCTAAGCTCTCCGATGGGTTTAGGGTCAAAGGGAGGTAAAAACAGTAGTTGGCTCTCAATAGGAGTTAAACAATTGTTATTCTTAAAACTGATTACCACAAACCCTCCACATTGTATGCGTATAACATAACAGGTGTTTTTACCATGCCTAGTTGTTCGTTGCTATTTGTCATTGTTTGTATATATTTTTTTGTTCAGGAAAGTCGCTAATGGTGGTTGGTATTGTCTGCATGATGTTCGGTTCATTTTGTTTGATGATTCTTGTTATCCGTTTTGTGTACAATTGTTGTATAGTGATCAACATGCATTGCATTCTTTAAATGTCAGATGAAAAATCCCAAGACAATCTTTTTTCTCTTATCAAAATCTATTCCAAATGCTTCGATCCAAATAAGACATGAAAAAAACCTTGTATATAGTTCTTTCGATGTTGTTGTATGCTGCATTCTCTTTTTAAAACACTTAATTTATGGCAATGTTATTAATTTGAATCTCAGAAGTAAACATTCTTTATCAAATATATTAAGATAAGCAGAGAACGTGACGTAAGTGATACATTTAGCCTGTATATTAATGAATTGAACGCCATTCGTGATTTATGGGTTCAGTCTAGTTTATATCAGATTTGTAATGTTAGCGGCCGGTTTTTTCAATATTCAGGTTTTCTTTGTTAAAACGTTATATGAGTTTAGATATTCAATAACATAAAAAAAAATGTTAACCATAGTTGAAACAGTTAAAATGAGTATAAGAAAATATTTTGGGACCCTTACAAATTATCGTAAAATTCTCGTTGTCCATAAACCCTTACGGAAATCGCAACTTTCTCTATTTTAGTTTATTGATTTTGAAAATAAAGTGAAATCACAAATGGACTTTTAAAGCATGATATCTCTTTAAAGGAATACAAAAACAAATTCACAATCTAGAAATATGTGAATATATACATAGCTTAACTATGGAAAGCAAAATGGGTCATTCATGTTCAAATAAAATAAAAGTGGTGGAATATCCAAAACTCATATGTCGAAGAGAAACTGACAACAACATGGCAAACAATAAGAAAAAAAAAAACGAGGAAAAAATAACCGAACACAACAGTCAACAAAACACTATATAGAAACTAAATATAGAAGACCTATTGAAAAAGACTACCATAGATCGCTGTATCTAGACAAAGTACACAGATTTATCATAAAAGATTTCCCGGAAGCATTTCATCTTTGATATGTACGGGGGGGGGGGGGACTTAAAGTGTAACTTTTCGATAACAAATCTACAAACATCCAAGAAAAGAGCCCAGGGTGTTGGCTAGACATTCCTGATCTTTCAACCTACATTAAATTTAGCTTACATTTAGATAACATATAGATACAAAAGATACCGAGAGGATTTTTCTTGACATTTTTGGCTTCGATGTGTACAATGTGGCAGTTTGGTATTCAATATATATTGCAAATGAATAAAATCCAAGGAAAATTGCACAGTTTAAGTGTTAGCCAAGTTTTATTGACACTGAAAACCCTGGAAAGTCTCAACAGACATTTGAGTGGTCTTTGGTAGTCTTTTGCAATACATTTTGAATACTATAAAAATAAGAAGATGTGGTATGATTGCCAATGAGACGACTCTCAATAAGAGACCAAATGATACAGAAATTAACTATAGGTCACCGTTAGGCTTCAACAATGAGCAAAGCCAATACCGCATAGTCAGCTATAAAAGGCCCCGAAATGACTAATGTAAAACAATTCAAGCGAGAAAACTAACGGCCTAATTTACAAAATAATGAACGAAAAACAAATATGTTACACAGCAACAAACGAAAACCACTGAATTACAGGCTCTTGACTTGGGACAGACACAATCAGAATGTGGCGAGGTTAAACTAGTTTGAAGGCGCCAACCCTCCCCTAACCTGGGACAGTGGTGTAACAGTACAACATAAAAACAAACTATAAAAATCAGTTGAAAAAGGCTTAACTTATCAGATGGATACAAATAGAAATACATCTAACATAAACACAGAGTGGACGTGGCAGAGTACTTATACAACCCCACAACAAAAGGACACTAAGTATTGATCTGAGAGTACTCGAAGTTACTGACAACAAGTTCAAAGCCAATAACAGCTAAAATAAAAACCATGCATCTAAGACTAAAATATCAATCAGTACACATCCAACATACAATGGATTTAGTGTAAAGACGTCATTAACAGTCAGTATTAGTATTAGTATATTTAATATATTGAAAACCGCCAAACAAATTGTGTTGATATACTGAAATAATCGAATTTTCAAAATGAAAATAACAAATAATTATTGTTTAAAAGTTGCCATTTTATTAAGGAAATTATAGCTAAAAATTATCTGTAACCAGATTTAAGTTTGATATTTAATATATATATTTATTATATACTTAGTAGTGAATACAGATAAATTGTATGTGTAATACAATCATTGGCAAGCGTGCTGTATCAGCCACCCGTGATGATATCGATATCAGCACGGTTGCAAATGCTTTATCAAACCCCTAATCTGTATGACGTCATGTCAAACCTCTAATCTGTATGACGTCATTTCAACCCCCTTATCTGTATGACGTCATGTCACATAAAACACATCTACGTGAGGTATATGTATATAATAAAGTGTATATGATATGGCTTTTTCAATATCACACACCGTATCAACCCTCAACCAATATAATCCCTCGAGCAGAGCTCTTGGGATTATATTGGTGTCTCGGGTTGATACGGATGTGATATTGAAAAAGCCATATGATATTCTCTATTTATTTATATATACATAAATACTCTAAATATCAGCACAACAATGTTAAATCTGCAAATTTGCGAAAGCAAATTTTTGTTAATCCCTCGCCGTGATTCGAACTCGTGCTATTGGGACATCGAGACAACACCGCCTGCACTGTGTCCTGCGCTCTAGACCACTCGGCCACCTAGACTGAAAAAATTTCAAAAGACTAAAATCTAGGGAAAAGGGTATAGTCTAAGTTTTAGCCAATTTTTATTGACACTGAAAACCCAGGAAAGTCTCATGGACATTTAATTGAGTGGTCTTTGGCAGTCTTTTGCAATATATTTTGAATACTAGTATATTTAATATATTGAACACCGAAAAACGAATCAGAGTCTAACTTCACATACATCATCACAACAAGCAACACTGCAATACACAGAACAAAGACAATAAATTCTATATTCCTCAAATGTCTAAGAGAAATAACTCAAATTATCATCTCGCACAATAAAAACTCATAATAATGATCATATAATAACGATGCATAAAACATGTGTTATGGCGAAACTATGACGTTAAGGTGGCTGGGGTGTCTTCCTCCATCTTGGATTTTGAAGTAGATGATAACAATTGGTCTAGATTTTTAATGAAATGTGCAAATTTTGAGAATAGTATGTAATTCAGGTGAAAGACTTTTCATGTTAATATAGAAAATTATGTGTTTTATCATAATTACGGCTGTATTTTCTAAACACAATATTTTTGTTAGATTTTTTTTTCTCAACTTTGCCACATAAGGGGAGATAACTCAGATAAAGTAATTTTTATAATAGAAAGTGTTATGAATTTAACTATTTTAATTTGTAGCAAGAAAGCAAGTCCGGTGACCCCATTTTTTTCTTTTTCTTATCTGAACGCATGTTATAAGAGCAATCTTCTCACATTTTATCTTAAAATTCTATGGACAGGTGTAGTTTTCTTTTTATCACACAAAATTGGATTTTCCATGCATAATCTATTATACAAAATCTGACAATTTTGCACAACCTAGCTGTAGCGTGAAAAAGTCCAGGTGACCCATACTTTTTATTATATTTTGGAAAAAAGCATGATAAAAACTAAAATTCTATGGATTTTAATTAAGACCACCTTAGCCTATTATAGCTATAGACATATATGAAATAAAAAATAATAAGGTATAGATTTTAACTTGCAGTTGCTGATTTTGTTGCATGTAAGATCGTATGTAACATTTGACTTTCTCAACCTAAATTAACAAAAAGTAATCTATTAAGATATATAAACTTTATCTATCCGCTACCCATGTTGAGCTAAATTTAGTTATTGATCTAATTACTATTAAAACATATAAAAAAATGAAAATATTATAGAAATAAACGTAGATAAGAATTAAATGGGTTGACAACAATAAATATCCTATTGGGGAGATTGTGATTCATATGCCTGTAATTTGTCTGCAGGTTGTGAATATTCATAAAAAAAGATTGAGTAATAATGCTTTCCTTGAAAGGTGCATTGTTATGCATAACATATATAGAAATTATGCACGCCAGATAGCTTGACAGCTTGACACTTTCCGCTCCCTCCCTGTTCGTAACTAACTCTGATTTACTTGCATATATATAACATACCGCATGCTTTTCTTTAGTATAAAATATAAAAAATAAGAAGATTTGGTATAATTGCCAATGAGACAACTCTCTACCAGAGATTTAATGCCATAGAAGTTAACAACTATAGGTCACCGTATG